AGACCAGAATGTGTCCTGTAATACAATAATTTTTATGTTAGAAGACTTTATTGGAGGGCACACAGCAGTTGGGAATTTGGTAATGTTGGTTCTGGCATACATAGCTAAAAATCATATAATTGGTGAGCAGGAGGTAGATTTTGTTTCGAATTATGAAGTAAGGAGTATTAGTCTTTATGATATGAATAAAATGCCATATACCATGGCGGTAATTTTAGAGGTTCTACGACATTCATCATCTCCTAATGTTCCTCATGTAGCAATGGAAGACACAGTTTTATCGGGATTTGGTGTTACCAAGGGGACAATCGTTTTTATAAATAATTTTATATTAAGTATAAACGAAAATAACTGGAAATATCCTGATCAATTTGAGCCGCAGCGGTTTCTAGATATAAAGCATACAGATGACAGAACCAATGTCTTGGTGGGACCAGACTCCAGTGCAGAGCTTTACAAAAAAAGAGACAAACAGTGCGGTTTCAATAAGTTAGGCTAAATTACAAAAAAAAATTACAACAATTTAAATGATGGTTATGTTTTTCAGCTTAAGAAATGTATTCCACATTTCTTACCGTTCAGTGTCGGTAAGCGCACATGTCTTGGAAAAAATCTGGTTCGAGGGTTCGGATTTCATTTACTTGTCCATATTATAAAAAATTACAATGTGAATAGTGCGGACTTTTCAAAAATTAAATTACAAAAATCCAGTGTGGCCCTGCCAAATAAATGTTTTCAACTATTATTGCGCCCAAGAAAATAAATAGTATATTATATATTATATTTCATAACCCAACTAAAAAACCATTTATATTCCACTCATAAAATTCTGCTTATGTAGTCTAGTGGTTAAGTTTAACTTAGTTCTTATAAGCATTTTTAATGACGTTTAGAAGACTGAGCCAATAAATGGAATATGAATATAATAAAATAGTTAAATGTGTAAATAATTTTAAGTTTGACATTAAAATTTGTTAATATGTAACATTATTAAATAAAATTCACGGCCCTGGACTCACAAAATTTCAGCTTAGCCCACACAATCTTAACGATGTGTCTGGATCTCAGTTATTCTTCTGACGGCATAGAATCGTGATTTATTGGGTCAGACGAGAAAAATATTAATGTGCCCAGAATAGATACCCGCGCAACTGACTTGAAGACTGTTCCTTATTTAATTCTTTTCCCCCACCTTTCCTATTTTAGTTAATGTGTCTGCGCAACCTTTACTTAGATCTGATAAGCATTTTACAACAATTTAGAAGACTGAACCAATAAATGGAATATGAAAATTGATAAAAGGAATAAATGTGTATATCGTAATTAGTTTATCATTCAATTTTTTAAATATGTAACTTTCAAAAAAAAAAAAAATATGGCACTGAGCCCACCCAACTTTACTTTATGTGACAAGCACCAAAATGACTTTAACAGGCTCAATTCTACTAAAATAAGTATTATAAATAATTTTATATTACTTACATGCCACGAAGAAAGTCTAAAATTTTTTAAAGATCTCGTTAATAGGTAGTTAAGCACAGTTTAAAAAATTCTCCATCCCAACCCCGATAATAAGGTGTGAGCTCTAGAAAAATTACACATAGACAACATATACATTATCTGTTTTATTGGGTATACAAATTTATTTTATTGATTGTTCGAAGCAGTAGTAACAAAGTTGTTAAGTTTTCAAATGTCATTGGCTGTTGGCTATAGCAAGCCTGTCTGTAAGTTCGAACCCTTCCCTAGTGGTTATTGGGTCACCCTAGAATGGAGCTTAGACATCGAGTACCTGCGCTCCCACAACCTGGGCTCTCCGTAGGTGCGCCGCCAGCTTGCCGACATGCAGAAGAGTTTTAGCATGGCCTGCGCTGCTGGCTAGGAGACAATGCTTAGATTGTTTTGGCTCTTAGTTTTAGTCTTCTTGGGTATCCCAATAAACAGCAGTCGCTCGAGGAAAGCTACTCCGGCGGAAGCCGTTATTTTTCTGATTTGGATTAGTGTGCCTTAAGGGCCACTAACTGACGCCCTACACCTACGTCACCTGCGAAGGCGCCGCGTCAAGGAGCGCCCGCCGCTGACCAAGAAGACATCTGCACCTGGCAAGGATCGGCCAGGAGACCGCGTGCGACGCGTGCGACGCAGGCCCCGGCACCACGGCGACATTGACGGCAGCGTGGGACTCCCGTTATGTCCTTACCTAATTGGCACCCAACTGTAAAAAGAATCCATGACCCCAAGAAGAAAATGTAAGTGGGCTAGTGTTTAAGTGTTGGGTAAGTGTTCCGATTAAATACAGCCTCAAAAAAAAGAGAATTACACTGGCTAGGAAAATTTTTTCCCTCGAGACAATTTTTTATTTTAATTTTGCATAAATAATAAATAGCAATTGTGACTGGTGCGTGTGGCCTATTAAATTAAATTTTGGAGTTTTAAAATAAATATTTAAATGAATGTTTGATGTAAAATTTTTTTAAAGTGAAAAAACTATTTGAATATTAATTCTTCTAAATAAAATATTTTAATATATAATATTATATTTTAATTGTTGTTGCCAAGATAATTTTAGTCGAATTAGAATATTCGGCCTTTCAAGGAATAAGATCAACAGGATCAGCAAGAGCCCTGCTAGTATCGCACAACACAGTCCTTAATTTTGACGTCATTTTGGCTAGGTTAGACTGCTATTATGCAGATAAGACTTCGTTGCGGCTGTTACGTTCGAGGTTAAGTTGAGGTCAGTCAATGTCGGAATTCATCCTCTCGACTAACTCTAACCGCACATGCAATTCACTTTCACCGAACTTGGCAAACTGTTCGTCACTTAGGTTTTTAACTGTATTTAACGCCTGAAGTTGACGCTCCAATGAGCCTGACTTTGCCCGATAAAAGTCTTCGTTACCTGGTGCACATTGCACAAGCTCTCATTTATTTGCTTCCGACATTTCGAATACAACAGTCACTACGCGAACTTTCCGATGCACTTGACTAAAGGCGACAAAATGTACAGCAGCCGATGCTGACTGCAGCTTTGGTTTGCAGGTATAAGCGAATATCGTACAAACGATGCGAATTGAGTTTATTGACCTTCACAACGAATTGTGTGAGAGGCGCTTGGAATTATAAAAATGAATAAATAAATGAATAATAATAATAAATAAATTTCTTAACTATCACACGCGTTCACAATCACGTTGGGGTCACCAAATGTTTGAGGAGGTAATAAATTATAAGTATACAAAAAATGCGGTGCCGTGAACGGTGCGAAAAAAAAGGGGAAAGATATTTTTTCTATGTTTTTTAGCACCGCTGCGACTGGGTGTTGTCAGCGATAGAGAACGAAATATAATAGGGCGAGCCGATTAATCGGCGACTCATGAGCGCTTATCTCGGCTTGTGTTATAGTTAAAAGAGAAAATTCAGCATACATTGATGCCGAACGAATTGTAAGCCGTGATTTTAGTATTAGCTAGATGACTGCTCCTGACAATAGAATTTAAATTAGTTTTTTTTTTACAAACAGTTTTTATTTTTATTGCAATTCAACTTTTTAAAAAAATTCTTCTGAAATTTATTTAAGTTTTTAAGTTTCTTTAATTGTTTTATATTTTTATACCCGGTACTCGTAGTGTAAAAGGGTATACTAGATTCGTTGAAAAGTATGTAACAGGTAGAAGGATGCTTCTCTGGCCCTATAAAGTATATATATTCTTGATCAGTATCAATAGCGAAGTTGATTAAGCCGTATCCGTCTGTCTGTATAAACGCTAAGATCTCAGGAACTAAAAGAGATAAAGAGTTGCGATTTAGCAGGCAGATTGAGGTCCCTACGCAGCGCAAGTTTGTTACATCATTCCACTTCGCCCACTCTATCGCCCACAAGGAACTATTAGGGCTAAAAAGTTAAGATTAAGTATGTATAATCTTGAGATGACAGCGCATCTTATGATAGTACCATTATGCGGCCACACCCATTCTTATACCCACCAAGCTCGAAAGACGGTTTTCGGATTTTTTAGAACACCTGATATTTTGGTAACTATAAATGACAGAAAGTCGGATTAAGCATATACATAGGTTTTAATGATGCCAGAAATGCGAATTCTTTTTCCTATCTTGCCACGCCCACAAGAACCGGAAACCCAAAAATGCAAAATAAGAGCAAAAAAGTTGAGCTTAAGAATACTTATTTTAGAGATGTCACTGCAACTAAAGTTTTCATCCTGCCACGCCCATTCTAACGCCCACAAACCGCGGAACGCTGTGGCGTCCATAATATTATAATGAATGTCTTCGTTTGTCCTTGTGTAACATTTTTTGTTAATACCTATCGATCTACCAAAGATTTCTTAAATATAAACTTTATTTCGCTATTTATGAATAAATGTAGGCTATATGCCTCACATGGACAATGACGTCCTATCAGTTACTTTATAAATTTTATAAATTTTATAAATTTGCACTAGCAAAATGAATTTATTAAAATTGTAGAAAATAGTAACGGGTATCTTATAGTCGCCGTACTCGAATATAGTTTTTCTTCTTGTTATATGTATAGAAGATAGTGCGGATGGACACCGGAGGGGGAGGTTCTTATAAATGAAAAAGAAGTTTCATTTGTAGGCACTTACAATAAGGCTGTCAATCTTATTACCGTTTATTGCAGAAGCATACAGGAATACATATCATAAGTCAATCGCCCTGCGAGTAGCAGAAATATGGCTTGATGACACGGAAAGTCCTAAAATTATTGGGTCTCTCTTAAGGGACTACATTCATGTAGGTATCTTTTAAAGTTACAGATTGCTTTGTATCTGCGTAGTTATACCCGTTACTCGTAGAGTAAAAGGGTATACTAGATTCGTTGAAAAGTATGTAACAGATAGAAGGAAGCTTTTGCGACCCTATAAAGTATATATATTTTTGATCAGGATCAATAGCGAAGTCGATTGAGCCATTTCCGTCTGTCCGTCCGTCCGTCCGTCCGTCCGTCCGTCCGTATGAACGCTGAGATCTCAGGAACTATAGCAGATACAAAGTTGAGATTAAGCATGAAGATTCTTGAGGTCCCGGGACAGCGCAAGTTTATTACAGCATCCTGCCACGCCCACTCTAACGCCCACAAATCGCCAAAAACTAAAATTGCTGAAATCTCAGGAACTATTGCAGTTAGAAAGTTGAAATTCAAAAAGTATAATCTTTAAATGGCAGCGCATCTTATAGTGGTACTACTATCCGGCCACACCCACAAGGCTCAAAAGACGGTTTTCGGATTTTCTAGAAAAGCTGATATCTCGGTAACTATAAGAGATAGAAAGTTCGGATTAAGCATGTAGGTTTCTATTATGCTTCCAATGCGAATTGTTTTTTCCGATGAAGACAAGCCCACTCCAACGCCCACAAAACCTGAACAACCAAAAATGCAAAAATCTCAAAAACTATAAGAGCTACATAATTTTGTTTAGGATCACGTATTTAGGAGATGCCTTTGCAACTTTCCACGAAGTTGCATCCGGCCACGCCTACTCTGACGCCCACAAACCGCGGAAAACTGTGGCGTCTCTAATATTATTATGAATGCCTTCGTTTGACGTTGTGTAACTTATTTCTGTTAATACCTATCGATTTACCAAAGATTTTTCAAATCGCAACATTATTTCGCTATTTATAAAGAAATTAAGTTATAAGGCCTCACATGCACTGCCCATGTGAGGCCTTATAACTTAATTTCTTTATATTATATTTCACTATAAGCATACTCAACATACTTCCTCTGACAATAGGTGGCGCCTTGTGAATTTCCACTAGCAAAATAATATTTTAAAATTTTGTAAAACAGTAATGGGTATCTTAAGGTCGCGGCACTCGACTATAGCGTTTCCTCTTGTTTTAAATTAGTACCTGTGATTCAAGGTTTGATGAGTTTTTTATGCTTTTTTTATAAATTGGTGTACATAGCAATACAAAATTAATTTTTTTTCATTACGGTTTCTATTTTTATTGCAGTACAAATTCTTATAAAAAAGTTGTTCTAAAAATTAATTTTTTTGTTCTTTTTATTGTGCGATATAAAATACAAAACAATTTATATAATATTTTCAGTACATTTATTTATAAAACGTGAACGATTCATTATAAAATTGAATTTTTTTAACAGTTTTTATTTGTATAGCAATTTAACTTTTTATAAAAATTTCTTCTGAAATTCATTTACGTTTCTAGTTTTCTTTAATTTTTTTAACTTTTCTTAATTGACGGACGCATTTGCTTCGAAAAAATATGACCCCGAAGCGAAATGCAATTGGCCGATATACACCTCAAGCGCAAGCGAAAACGGTATTTCAAGCCTCAGGATCAGACGAGTAACGAGCATTAAGGCTAGAAAAATCCAAGTGCATCCCGCTGGGACCCGATCGTCTGAATTACCTGAACGACGGTAAGTAAGGTTAGAACGATATGGGTCATATGACCAACAGGAAAGTCGTCGAAAAAATGTTCGAACAAGGTATTGCAGCGCACTCAAATTTAAGAGCGAAACGCCAGGGATGTGTTGCGCCAGTGGAAAAGTCAAACTGCAAGAATTACATTTCCCAGCTGAACAATTCTCGTCGTTGCTTTCAGGCATAACACATTATTCAAAACATTTTTTGACTATAAAATTAAAAGGTTAAGACGTACTGTTGCCACGTATCCCAATAATTCCGACGGTAATGACATTCGAATTCAAACGTACCAACAAAGCACAAGGACAATCATTGCAAGTGTGAAGACTAAATTTGGAGAATCTATGCTTCTCACATGGGCAGTTCTATATGGCCTGCTCAAGCGTGGGAAAATTGAGAAGCGGACCGAAGCGAGGTGGTCGCGATAGTGACGTATAAATATACTTGATCAGAAAAAATATCGCACCAAATTTTCGACTTACTTCCTTGCGTTCGACTGTTTGTTTGTCAGGAACTATAAAAGATGCATATAAGTTTGGGATTAACAATGCAGAATCTTGAGATACCTGCGCAGCGCAATTCTTCTGTCAAGCCCGATCCAAAAACAATAAAATATGACAGTTAGGATTAAGCATGTAGGTTTTTGAGATGCCGTATATATATATTTTTTTTCGCCACTCCCGTTGCTTGACGTGCAACCCACCTCCCGCCCGACCGACGGCGCTGCCGACTGACGTACGGCTCGGAACAAGGGGATAGATCCGAGTGGATTAGTAAA